GAAGAGGGAGCGATAGAGTAAAGAAAGGGAGATGCCATATTGCAAACCTAATACTTTTTAAAAAATGACAAATTATGCATTTCCAATTTAGAAAGTAGAAAAAGTAAAGCGTTCAAGCAAAAAAAGGGTCTGTACATACTTACATATAACGGTTTCCTAGTTGTTGAAAAAAACCTTTAGTTTTTAAATTCAATAAAAATATTCACAGACGAAAGGAATGCACCATAAGTCTTGGATAATATGGTTAATGTAGACAATTAAATAGTAACACGTAATTGCCCGTTAGTATTCGAATGTCCAAACATATTCAAAATCAAGTTAACTTTGCAAAATCAAATGAAGGGCATTTTGCGAGGGCGTAACTCATGAGGGACCTTGTTTGTGGTGCAAGGTCGTAATTTGGTCACATTGCGAGATGTTGGCGAGTTGTCGATGATATTTTCGAAAAGTTTGATTGACACTTCAGGGGACTTCACAAGTGCTATCTCAAAAGTGTACAACTTAAATTACTCACCGCAGACTTCATTCTGGCTTTAAGGTACTTACTTCAAGATAGTTTCTATTACCACCCCCTTTGCGGCTCCCGCGAAATTTCTACATGGTTTAAATTGGCTGACCCTTGCGCGTACTTTCCCAATAATTACAACCTAAAAAAGTGACCGACAATAATTTATTAGAATTTTCGAAAACGTTAATTAACCTTAATAAAGTACAGGATACAATTAAAGGAACGCATAATTTCATAAACAATTTCCGTGCGTAATAGCCGAGTCCATTAAGTAAAATTCCAATTTCCTAAACGGCCTTTCATTTGCATTTCTGAAATCATAACCGTAGGTACCGCTTCTTCGATCGCGCACCCCCCGTTACTCTCAAAATCCCACACGCATCTCGCCTCTTATCGCTTCATCTTTAGGAAAATAAACCATTCTCGAAAGGTTTATATTTAAACATCAATTTTAATTATTTAAGTTGTAATTTTCATAAGCTTGTTATAACAACACTTAAACTGTCAATTAAATCTTGAAATTCTCGTTCTGCCGGGTATAAACTTAATAAACTAATTGGTTGCGTTCGTAATTAAAGTATTTGGGACGGGCGTGCGTAAATTTGCGTTTTTCCCACGCTTCTCTAATGCATAATTCACATTCTGACACCTGGTGCGGGAATGCGCGATTGTTAGATTAGAGTGAAGCCGAGAACGTGGATGATATCTTCTTCGTGGTCGCGAGGGCGTAATGTCGACGGAGCAGATCTTCGAATACCGAGAAAGGCTCCCCGGTGGAGCGCTTTATGCGCGCTTCGTGCACCATGTGCGAATTTTAGATGTTTATGGTCTCAGGTTTGTTTATGTTGTGTTGGATTCGTATTGTGTTGCACTTACTTCTTGCTTTTATTAACCCTTTTACATGTCGTCGTCTTATTCCTTTGTAAGAATATTTTTAACGACTCGCAGTCACTTTTTTTCTCCGCTTCGTAGTTTATTAACCGCGACTACGAAATTGGGATGGTACAAGGCGCGTATTGACTTGTTCTGAAATATGAAAGTTAGTACGTACGTAATTTTATTACCTTTAAGCTATTCCATAAATGGAAGTGGTCCTTCGGGTATTCTCTTTTTTCCATTTGCAATTTAGATAGAACTCACCATTCACCAGTCATTGGCACTATTTAAGGGATGATTTCCTGAGATTCCACGATAATGAACATGTTTTATGTTTCCTGCTTGAAATGGAAAGAGTAAAGGGGTTGATTGATATAAAGGGTGAACATTTTGTCTGGATATATTTTCAAGACAAGATCGTTTTAAATTATAATTATAAAATCAATTGACGTACACTGACTGGAGAGGTTTGCTGACTTCGACATGGTGAAGGGGGACATATTTTTTTTAAATAGCAACCACTAGATTTCGTTACATATTCATAAAGAGTACCTTCGGATATAGCAGCATAATACGTTACATAATCAAACTTAAAAGGGAAAAAATGTGCTGTGGCTAGCACAGATACCACCCGCATACCTGCGCATGGGCGATTCTGCCCTTTTAGGTCTTAGAATATGTGTACCGAATTTGGTTCCAATCGGTTCAGCAATTTCTCAAGAAAACACCTTTTCTTATTAATTTTGGTGCGTAGAATCCAAAACGATTCGTACTTTTTCGATTAGACCTCTCAATCAAAAGTTATAGACAAAAAACCAATTTCGAAAAAAATTCAAAGGGCTGTAACGTTTGATCTAGTAGCCCAATCTTCAAACTGTTTGAAATTATGGATTCTACGGGCCAAATTCTATAAGAAAATGTTTTTTCCCGGTCGATCTCAGACAATTTTTTTTCAAGTCTCAAAAAAGGCAGTGTACCTATAACCTTCCTTTTTTATCAAAAATCGACCACTTCAAAATTTCTCGGGAAAACACTTTTTCTTATTAATTTGGTGCGTAGAATCCAAATCGACTCGTACTTTTTCGATTAGACCTCTCAATCAAAAGTTATGGAGAAAACCAATTTCGAAAGAAAATTCAAAGGGCTGTAACTTTTGATCTAGTGGCCCAATCTTCAAACTGTTTGAAATTATGGATTCTACGGGCCAAATTCTATAAGAAAATGTTTTTTCCCGGTCGATCTCAGACAATTTTTTTCCCCGGCCTCAAAAAAGCAAGTGTATAACCTCCGTTCTTTACCAAAAATCGAGTACTCCAGAATTTCTCAGGAAACACTTTTTTTTTATTAATTTCGGTGCGTAGAATCCAAAACGATTCGTACTTTTTCGATTAAACCTCTCAATCAAAAGTTATAGACAAAAAACCAATTTCGGAAAAAAATTCAAAGCGCTGTAACTTTTGATCTAGTAGCCCAATCTTAAAACTGTTTGAAATTATGGATTCTACGGGCCAAATTCTATAAGAAAATGTTTTTTCCCGGTCGATCTCAGACAATTTTTTTTCCCGGCCTCAAAAAAGCAAGTGTATAACCTTCGTTTTTTACCAAAAATCGACTACTCCAGAATTTCTCAGGAAAACAGTTTTTCTTATTAATTTTGGTGCTTAGAATCCAAGACGATTCGTACTTTTTCGATTAAACCTCTCAATCAAAAGTTATAGACAAAAAACCAATTTCGGAAAAAAATTCAAAGCGCTGTAACTTTTGATCTAGTAGGCCAATCTTCAAACTGTTTGAAATTATGGATTCTACGGGCCAAATTCTATAAGAAAATGTTTTTTCCCGGTCGATCTCAGACAATTTTTTTTCCCGGCCTCAAAAAAGCAAGTGTATTATAACCTTCGTTTTTTACCAAAAATCGACTACTCCAAAATTTCTCAGGAAAACACCTTTTCTTATTAATTTAGGTGCGTAGAATCCAACACGATTCGTACTTTTTCGATTAGACCTCTCAATCAAAAGTTATAGACAAAAAACCAATTTCGAAAAAAAATTCAAAGGGCTGTAACTTTTGATCTAGTGGCCCAATCTTCAAACTGTTTGAAATTATGGATTCTACGGGCCAAATTCTATAAGAAAATGTTTTTTCCCGGTCGATCTCAGACAATTTTTTTTCCCGGCCTCAAAAAAGCAAGTGTATAACCTTCGTTTTTTACCAAAAATCGACTACTCCAAAATTTCTCAGGAAAACACCTTTTCTTATTAATTTAGGTGCGTAGAATCCAACACGATTCGTACTTTTTCGATTAGACCTCTCAATCAAAAGTTATAGACAAAAAACCAATTTCGAAAAAAAATTCAAAGGGCTGTAACTTTTGATCTAGTGGCCCAATCTTCAAACTGTTTGAAATTATGGATTCTACGGGCCAAATTCTATAAGAAAATGTTTTTTCCCGGTCGATCTCAGACAATTTTTTTTCCCGGTCTCAAAAAAGCAAGTGTATAACCTTCGTTTTTTACCAAAAATCGACTACTCCAAAATTTCTCAGGAAAACACCTTTTCTTATTAATTTAGGTGCGTAGAATCCAACAACGATTCGTACTTTTTCGATTAGACGTCTCAATCAAAAGTTATGGGCAAAAAACCAATTTCGACAAAAAATTCAAAGGGCTGTAACTTTTGATCTAGTGGCCCAATCTTCAAACTGTTTGAAATTATGGATTCTACGGGCGAAATTCTATAAGAAAATGTTTTTTCCCCGTCGATTCTAGACAATTTTTTTTCCGGCCTCAAAAGAACCAAGTGTATAACCTTCCTTTTTACCAAAAATCGACTACTCCAAAGTTTCTGGGGAAAAAACTTTTTCTTTGTTCGAAAAAAAAATTCAAAGGCTGTAACTTTTGATCTAGTAGCCCAATCTTCATACTGTTTGAAGTTATGGATTCTACAGGCCAAAGTCTAAAAAATTTCAGACAATTTATTTTGCCGACTCAAAATATAGCCTTTACCTGTTTTCGATTCTCGGTTCATTATGCAGCAGAATGCACCAGCACCAAATTAGTGTTGTACTTGAAAACAAATAAAGCGCTTAGTTAACCACATTTCTTAACTTCCCGTTGAAGAGACTGCACCAGCAGAACCACGGGCGGTGTTCCCTTTCCGAATTTGTTGACGTGTAATTTGCGTGGCACAACAAATTGCCATGTATTAATATTTTCTATTTTTATAGAAAGGGGGTCTTCCATTCTCCATTTCATTCCTTTCACCGGAACCGTCAAGATGGTGAAGCCAGTGCGAAAAAGTTCAACGAAGAATCCTCCAATTCTCAGTCACGAATTTATAATACAGAACCATGCGGATATTGTATCATGTATTGCCATGGTTTTTGTTATCGGACTGATGGTGCAGGTAGGTCGTCGCCGGATCCGTATGGGACAATCTGTGAGCGTGCGTGTGTGTTTCAGGCTACTGCACCGATCGCGTCGATATTCATTGCGCTTCAACATAACGTGACCGAAACTGGCGAGATACCGTTGTATTTATCCGGCGGAAAAGATTGGGCGGGCATTTTCTTCTACAGCTTGATCTGTATCGTAGTGCACGCGATTATTCAAGAGTACGTGCTCGACGTAGGTACCTTCGAGTGTGTTTGTGCCCAAGGTTTAACTCGCATTTTAGAAACTTTCCAAGAAGCTGCACCTGTCCAAGTCGAAGCTGGCGATTTTTAACACCAGCGGGCAATTGGCACTTTTCTACGGGATATCCGTGCTGTGGGCGTTGGAGGTTATTCTTTTACGCGAACACTACATTCCTGATGTAAGTCGGTCACCGGGTGAAAGCCGCCTAACGGGTGCATGTTTCAGATTAATTTACTATGGGCCGACTATCCGGCGGCGATGCCTTTCAGTATGAAACTGTTTCTGATCATCCAAATCGCGTACTGTCTACACGAGCTGCCCGAGCTCTACTTCCAGCGTACCAAAAAGGAGGAGTACCTCGAGAAAATCACGCACAGCCTCGCCGCGTTGACGTTAATCGCCGTACCTTACTTCCTCAACTTTAACCGCCTGCTGATCTGCCTGATCGCGTTGCACTACGTGTCCGAGCTCACCCACCACGTCTGCCAGCTAATCCAAACCGTCGACAAGGACGAGAAGTTCACGAAGGGAACGCGCCTAGTCTCTATCGCCGTCCTAATCCTCGCTCGTCTCGGTAGCGTCGTCCTCGCCGTGGTCACCTTATGGTTCGGTCTCGCCCTGGGCGAACAGCGCGAGCTCGACCTGCAGGCGGGCTACTTCAACATCGCACCCGTTCGTCTAGTCCTGCTCACCGGAATTTTAATTTTACAACTGTAAGCCGTACGCCGACCCCGCGTGAGCTCACTAATCGCGCGATCATTTCAGCTATCACACCTTCAACGTCGTCAATCAGGCGGTGGCGAGGATGCGCGAGAGCAAGGCGACCGTGACGTCGACAAGGATCAAGCCTCAAAAGAAGGATAAATTTAAAAAATGTAATTGATTAACAAAACTAACCTAGTATTTAGTGACAAAAAAAAAGTTCCTAAAAAAATTACTAAACCCCTTGAATTGAATCTGTTTTTTTTTTGTTCCGCAGCAAAGAGAGGAGGCGAAGAATCTGATTTGCCGGAAGTCGATCAGAACACAAACAAGAACCTGAGGAGCCGTTCCCAGAAGACTAAATAACTGATATATACGCGACAATTAAGACATTCCTCGTTTCGTGAAGTTTAATTGTGTCATCGTCCTTTCCATAGATTATTAATACTCGTTTTGTATAATTTTTTATGTGTATAAATGTTGCTGTTATACAGTATGTTAGTGTGAATTAACGAGGCTAAGGAATAAATGGCTACAGGTTGCGTGGGTGCCTTTATTATAGTCCTCCATAGGAAGGGGAAATACATATGAGAACTGTAAGCCATATGTTCGTCCTGCGGAAATTAACTTTGGGCCAAGACCATGTAATCCCCAAACCATAAATTGAGCAAACAATTACACCAAAAATGAAGATTAAAAGAATATAAGTTAACGGCATTTTTCATACACGTGATTACACATTGAGGTTAAATCAAGTCGATGCAATCCCACTCGATCTGGGACACACTGTATATTCATTGGTGATCTAAAAACTTTAAGAGCGAATCTGTCGAAAACGGTTTGTTGGAGGAAAGCACTTTGAAAAGCAGTGAATCTTCCGGATGAGACATATGGGTGAAGTGAAGCAAATATCTTAAAAATGAAGCATTGGAAGATGATATTCATACAGGGCAAGTGGACTGTTAAAAAAAATGACATGCTTATTTGGGGGTGAATGTAGAACCGGTGAGCCCGCGGGGCATACCCCTAGGAGAAAAAGAAATTTTTGATTTTAATTCACCTCGACAACTATGCAAGGGCTAAAGCCTGTAAAGCTAAACGCTTTGGGGATGAATGTAAAAACGGGTAGTCTGAGGGTATGGAAAGATTCAACTGTCAAGATCCTCGTTTACATACACCCCAAACCCCCCCCCGGTGGTGCGTTCACCATCAAAGCCATCAACACTTTAGTGGTAGGCAACACATGTTACTCTCGAAACGCACCAAATGAGTAAAATACCAGTAACTGAAAAAACTTAGATGTTTGTTACGTACTTTTTGAGCAAATGCAACAGAATTACCGTAACACCGAAATAAAACCAACCCGGCAACGTTTAAAAATGGTCACCGGTTATTCTTTCCAAAAAGCTAAACACATGCACATCCGGCTTAAATTTGAAATCGAAAAGTGGCATTTGATAAAAAATTATAATTATTGCTATATGAAGAAGCTCTGTAGCGAAATAAATTACACTGCAAAAATAAACTTTGATAATGGTAGTTCCCCGAATAAAAAAAAATTGGGAAAAAAGAACTTACCAAGAAAAAACCTGCCGACAATATTATACTGTACTGTAGCCTGTAACCCATTCATGTTTTGTTTATATGTCCCGTGTTGATTAAAGATGGTATCCCGATGAGAAAAAGAGATCTATATTACTTTTAGATATGTTAGATGCTATATTCACATTCTACAAATAATGCGTCTCTTTTCAGTTTCAATTGAGTAAATTATAAGACAATTAAATACAAAGTATGTAATTATCAATTATTACTAGCCATAACGATTACCTTTTACATTTGTTTTTGTTTATTCAAACATTTAGTTGAATTTTATGTACAATTATGTTCGAAATGGTTAATGTGGTAGGGTGGAAGATCGCTCCTGAGCGAACCCTGTACCATTTGTGAGATTTCTTCACAATAAACATTATTATTATTATTTTAAATTTTAAAAAACTCAGTACCGCTCCACAGCATCGAATGAAATGTGACAAATTTGCTGCCTTGAATAAAGAGATCTCGATTTTTATGTCTTGCTTTGAGATAATCGATAAATACTTAAATGTTTACACAATAATTTCGCAACATTTGCAATAACCCTCTCTCTCGAAGCCACCACACACTACAGACTAATATTTAACAAGAAATTTGTTCGCGGTTTGTGTGCGTTAAAAGATGTCGTTTAAGATATCGTTTATTATTTGTTCCATAATCACAATGAGCACATTTAAAATCTTTAAACACTTTATGTTTTAAAAAGTGTAGTTTAAAGTTGTACTTGTTATTCGACTTGTACTCACAATGAGGACATTTAAAATCTGTAGAAAATTTATGTTTTAAAAAGTGTCGGTTAAAATAGTATTTGTTATTTGTCTGGTAATCGCAATTACCACATTTAAAATCTTTAGACACCTTATGTTTTAAAAGGTGTAGTTCAAAGCTGGTTTTGTTATACGTCTCGTAATCACAACTAGTACATTTAAATTCATTAGAAACTTTATGTTTCAAAAGGTGCACTTTAAGGTTGTTTTTGTTATTGGTCTCGTAATTACAAGTGGCACATTTAAAATCTTTACAATCGATATGTATCAAAAGGTGTCGTTTAAAGTAGTATTTGTCATTTGTCTCATAATCACAATTGGCACATTTAAAATCTTTGGAAACTTTATGTTTTAAAAGGTGCACTTTAAGGTTGTTTTTGTTATTTGTCTCGTAATTACAATTGGCACATTTAAACTCTTTAGACACTTTATGTTTTAAAAGGTGTACTTTATAAGAGTATTTGTTATTCGTCGCGTAATCACAATGAGCACATTTAAATTCTTTAGAAACTTTATGTTTTAAAAAGTGTAGTTTAAAGTTGTATTTGTTATTTGACTTGTAGTCACAATTAGCACATTTAAGATCTTTAGAAGCCGTATGTTTTAAAAGGTGTAGTTTAAAGTTGTACTTATTCGTAGTCTTGTAATGACAATTAACACTTTTAAAATCTTTAGAATCTGTGTGATTTAAAAGGTGTCGTTTAAAGTAGTATTTATCATGTGTTTTGTAATCGCAATTCGCACATTTAAAATCATGAGAATCGCTATGTTTTAAAATGTGTCGTTGAAAGTTGTTTCTGTAATTTGTCTCATAATCACAATTGGCACATTTAAAATCTTTCGAATAGGTATGTTTTAAAAGGTGTCGTTTAAAGTAGTTTTTGTCATTTGTTGCATAATGACAATGGGCACATTGAAAGTCTTTATCGGTATGTTTTAAAAGATGTCGTTTAAGACATTGTTCATTATTTGTTCCATAATCACAATGACCACATTTCAAATCTTTAGAGACCTTATGTTTTAAAAGGTGTCGCGTAAAGTGGTGTTTCGTATTCGTCTTGTAATCACACTTAGCACATTTCAACACCTTATGTTTCAACAGGTGTCGTTTAAAGTGGTATTTTGTATTTGTCTTGTAATCACAATTGTCACATTGTAGCACATCACGTTTGTGTATTAAAATGTGCCGTTGAAACAAATGCTTATTCTTTGTTCCATAATCACAATGAGCACAATTAAACCCTTCTGAAACAGTATGCTTTAAGAGATGTTCTTGTAGCGTTGTGTGTGGACCAAAGTCACATTCAAAATCCTTGGAAATTTTGAAATCAGTTTGTATTTCTTCATTATCGAGTGATTTGGAGCATTGTGCAGTGATGGTAATTTCTTCGTCCTTAATTGCAACCAATGCTTCATTGCTTATTAAAATGTTTGCTCCAAGATTGGAATGGATTACTTCCTCTTGTTTTGGTTCGATTTTAATGAACTGTACATTATTTCCGTCCATATCCAAAAGAAATAAAATTTATCTTACCAGTCCCAGTCTATTTATAGCTCTATCCTCTGGGTACAGATGCAATTTACTTTGCGCTGGAGACTACTCTATTCCATTTAAAATCAACCACAAGAAACTTGCAAGCAAGTAGTAAATTTTGTGAGGTTATAGTTGTTATCTTTATTCATTGTTTACACCTTAGATTTACACACCAGAAAATGAGATACGGGCGATAATGGTGGGCATGCGTCTGTTAAGTGCCCATTTGCTTCAACTTTTTTTTAACGAATTTTGTCCACAGGTTCAGTCGAGTATTATATGCCACAGTGGGCAAGTGGCTAGAATACTCGGCTTGCACCCTGGCAGTTAGGGTTCGAATCTTTGGTACGAAAAATTTTTTCCACAAAAATGCGTAGGTAAACAATTCAGCGAAGTTGTTTGCAGTTTTAAATTAATTTTTTTGAAAAACAAACAAAAACGAAGGGGTACATATATGCGCATGCCCACCGTCACCGCAGTTACTCTCTGTAGCCGCAGTGTTGTCACTTTTCTACAAATTCTATAACACGCGCTGTTGCCAATAAACTTTGTCTTGCTTCGAGATACTGGATATTTAAACGTTTCTATATCGGCAAACATTTTAGATTCGTAAATTACAACACGTCACCTTACTCTTTCCCCTTTACAAGACATTTGTTCCGGAATGTGTTGTTTAAGACATAATTTGTTGTGTGTTGCTTCTTAGTCTTATAATTACAATTAGCACATTACTAGAGAAAGTTTGTGTGTTGAAAGATGTCGTTTAAGACAATGTTTATAGCTTGTTCCATAATCACAATGAGCGCATTTAAAATGTTTGCAATCAGTATGCTTTAAAATGTGTTGTTTAAAGTGATGTTTGTTGTTTGTCTCGTAATTACAACTAGCACATTTAAAATCTTTAAAAGTGATATGATTTAAAAGATGTCGTTTAAGACATAGTTTATCATTTGTTCTATAATCACAATGGGCACATTTCAAATCTTTGGAAACTTTATGTTTTAAAAGATGTCGTTTAAAGTAGTACTTGTTCATTGTCTCATAATCACAATTAACACATTTAAAATCTTTAGAATCGCTATGTTTTAAAAGGTGTAGTTTAAAGTGGTTTTTGTTATTTGTCTTATAATCACAATTGGCACAATTAAAATCTTTAGATTCGATGTGATTTAAAAGATGTCGTTTAAAATAGTGTTTGTCATTTGTCTCGTAATCACAACTAGCACATTTAAATTCTTTAGAATCCGTATGTATTAAAAGGTGTCGTTTGAAGTAATATTTGTTCATAGTCTCGTAATCGCAATGAGCACATTTAAAATCTTTACAATCGATATGTATTAAGAGGTGCTGTTTAAGATACCGTTTATTCTTGGTTTCATAATCGCAATGAGCACAGTTAAAACCCGAAACATTACGCTTTAAAAGATGTTGTTTAACTTGTAACTTACTATTTGTTGTGTGTTGACCGAGGTCACATTTAAAATTGTTGGAAATTTGAGTTTTAATATTCCATCCACAATCGGTTTGTTGTACTTCACTATCGAGCGCAGTAATGGTAATTTCGTCCTTTATTGTAATCAATGGTTCGTTGCTTACTAAGATGTTTTCTTGAAGATCGGAGTGGATTTCTTCTTCTTGTTTTGGTTCGATTTTAACGAGTGGTACTTCATCCATATCTATTAGCATCACTAACTTTATCAAGCAACAATTACGTTTCTGTTTATCACATATAAAGTCTGGTATTAAACCTATGAGCATTATTTTTTACTGGTAGTACACAATACAAATTTCTCAACTGTCTCCAGGAACAGACCTAACCTAATAAAACTGGCTGTACCTCAAGTATCGGTTACGGTTACGTTCCAGGCTCGTAATCGTCTCTCCAGTGGCGTATCAATGGTTTTTATTTTAGAATGTCACCCCAAACTCTGCTTTTTCTTAAATTGTAAATAAATCTTTCGGCTTTGTGCAATTACTTTATTACTTTAAATGGCTTTCTATTACTTGTAGTGTACTTAACCTCTAGGTTCCACGCTAACTTCACACTACAAGAACACGGAACTAAAGCCAACCCGGCAACCGGGAATCATAAATCCGATTATGATTCCGTCCAAAACTAAACAAGATCCCGATTAAATTTTAAAAATGGCGCATAATAAAACACCGGAACTGTGAAAAGTTTGTTTAATAATGATCGCAATTATCATTGATTGTAAAAGCTCGGAAATTTAAGTCGAAATAAATTACATTGCAAAAATAAATTTTGAAATTGGTAGTTTGCCGAATAAAAAAATAGTGTGGGGAAAAAAGAACTTACCCAGAAAAAAAACCAGTCGTTAAATTAATATTAAATTGCGTAGTTAAATTAATTGTTTGTAATGATGTGAAACAACAATATCCACAAAATATGTAGCCTGTAGGCTTCAAGAGAGTATAAATGGTTAATCAAAACAAGTTTTGGGAACCATGGGTCAGGTAAGCAGGTGCCTAGTTTCTGAAAAAGGGTGAAATCCACAGGATGTGACTTATCTTTGGTACAATACAATCCTTTTGTTAAGACCAAGATGGAAAATTACACGACCTTATAGGCAAATTTAACTAAGGACAAAATATGTGAAAATCATTGAATCGCAATATACCACATATCGATTCTAAACCGAAGAGTTTTTGATTAGCGTAATCTACCAAATATGAGATTCTACATTAAGGTTATGGTTATTACATCAAGTTAATTTCAAAAACAAAGATTTAAACTCACAAAAATATAAAATGCTGCATAAAAATAACAAATACGATATAAAGAAACGCAAAAATTACTACCTGCATTAAATAACACAAAAACAACAACAAACATTTACGAGGCGACGCGTTCGCAACCGCCATTAAAGACAAAATGCCAAAGATAATCAACGTTCGTGCTCGCCAGATGGCGCAGGCCTCATTTCCCCTCCTAAAAATTAAAAATCACGTGGTTGCCAGCTTTCAAAAATGAGCGCATCGTCGTAAGTTGTATATATACAGGGTGGAACCTCTCATCAGTGTAATTACGCTACAATTAAGCGTTCGTTTAAGTGCAACCTTTTAACACCCACAAGCTCTCCCACATTTGATGTGTGAACAGTGTAATTGCGCTACTCACGGTATATCCACACTGAAGGATGTTCGTGCACTGTGCACACAGAAATAGTCATTTATTAAAGCACGACACATCGAAAAGCACTGATTGTTCAATTTGTGATCGGTGTAATTATGCCACGAATAGTAAAGAAAGGCTGTTTTAAGGCATAATCGACGTAAGGGAATGCCGGCGAGTTGTAAGAGTGCGTCGAAGCAAGTGTGAAAGGTACATAATGAGGAGGGGAACGCTTAAAGTAAACGAGCGTGGATTTTTAAGGGTTGCGCGGTTTTAGTTGGTGAGTATATTAGGGAACGTCTCTTTCGAACAAAATTGTATTGATTCTACAGCAGGTTTTTAATAAAATTGGCACTTAATTTGGTATGTGTTACTGGTTGACGTCAGTTCAAGTCTGAGAAGAGTCAGGAAGGTTCCAAATTTGTTCGACAATCGGATATGTGAGCCATTGATTAGGAACTCGTTTTTTTTCCTATAATTTGGCAATGAGGGGCCCTTTTCTTTATTTAATTGGTTGCATTAAGCCAAATGTCATCCAAAAGTTTAGTTGTAGTACTAAGAAAAGTAGCGATTTTTATTATGTTGACAAAATTATCTGTACCCACGATTACGCCATCGGTTCATTATCATTAAAGTGATTTTTATTGGCGTTTATACAAAGAAAAACACTTATTTCTCCTATATATCTATAATTTGAAGATAAAGAACAAAGATAAAGATTGAATGTTGTGTAAATACACATTTACAAGGTTGTGATTATTATAAACCAACCCCACTTAGAAACATAATCATCGGTGACTCCCTACAAGAGTGGTGGAACATTTTCCCGATACTTTCCCTTGAAATTTCCTCGAGGATCGTAATTGGCAACGACCCATACTTTTCCATCCTTTGCCACCGTACCGACGCCGAGCTGCTTCGAACTTTTCCAAATGACCTGCGTGAAATGTCCGGTTCCGGACTTGGTCGGCTCTTCGCCGAACGTGTACTTGCTTATCTCCTTGTACCAACGGTCAACGGATTTCTCCCCGTTTTCGGCGTAGCCCGCCTTGGACGACGACGCGTAGCTCAAGTTTTCTCCGTACTTGGGGGCCGGACGATGTTTGGGCTTCGGCATCAGCGATATTTCTTGGGCCCATTCCTGCGCGTAAGCCGAAAGCTGCAATTCAGAAAAAAAGGTCAAATTGCTCAATTCTAGACCTAGAAAAGCAATTTCCGCGATAGTAAACAAGGACGACCTTGACTCCAACAATTCAAAATGGCGGACCTATTTTTAAGAATTTGCCAAATGGCCAAATTCGTCATCGCGCCAAAATATGGCCTTTTCTCGTTGTTGAATTAGTAAACTTATTAGTATAGCACTTACCGTGTCATTTAGTACCAAGGGTGGACAACCATGGAGTTTTCGGTAGTGGTTATGACGGTCCAAAGATTGTTTTCTGAAGGCAGTTAAATCCGCCGCCCTTGGGTCGAGTTCTACAACAGACGCATCATTTGAGTAACAAAATTTATAGTCATATATGAACATGCATAATCAGGAAGTGTACTTGAACGTAAAAGTAAACAGTTAATTGTGTCTTACCTGCCGAAACCACCCCCTCAAGCACAGCTACCGAGCACAACACGAAAATTGAAACCTGAATGAGCATGTTAGCGATTTCAGCTTAATACCAGCTTGTGTCCTTTTATATATTTGGCTCAGTTTATCAACAAGTACCTGCACACTTACCTATGGGTTTATCATGAGATAATAGTTGAAATCTCATATATTTGCCAAACATTTCGAAATTATGGAAGTGTTTTGCGATTCACGCTGATGATAAATATATAGATAGACAGATAATGTTTAATTTGGGGTCGAAAACGAAAAACAATGTGAAATAAGATTAAAATAAGTCTTACGGAATATTGTATATAGTCTATTAAAAAAACAACACAAAGGAAAAAGAGCACACGGAAAAAAAGAGTATGACCGAAAAAAACCTTGATATCTAATTAATAAATCCAAGAATCAGAGTAATTTGTAAAATCAATTGTATAGTTATACCAAGTTTAGGGCACAATGGGTGCGGTAAGCAGGTAGCAAAATTTTGAAAGGGAAGAAGTGAAATGAAATTCTCTGTGAAAACTGAAAGAAATTTGTATGATCTGTGAGCTGTCCGTTTTCAAAATTTCAAACCACAAGTATTTCGGATGGAATATAATGGTAATGGAGCACTATTTTACATAGTTCTACGTTTTCGCAAAGATCGCCGACAGTATGACGTTTAAATTCTCATTTTGAGGAAAATGCTCCTCTTCGGGACGGCGAAGGGTTTCCACATGTGCGGATTGAAATTTTAAGACCCCTCATGGACGTTACCGCATATTTGTATTTAACTCAAAATCCCCCAAAAAACGCTTCACTGATGAGGTCATCAGTGCATTTTTTAAGGGTTTTTTTTTGCAAATTTAGGGGCGAAAGTTAAGACTAGATTCCGTCGATCACAAAATGCCGTGGCCACGTTCGTTGTATAGAATTATATTCTTTATATTGAACAAGTACCGTTGGCGTATATTGAGACACCGCTGGAGTTACATTAACCTTGAAATACAATGCTGCCATTCACGTTCAACTGGAAAATTACAGAGTTCAAATAAGGTTCAAATGTTGTTCATATCCACGGTCATTGCCTCTGGTGCATTTACGTTCATGTCCACGGCCACAGTAGTTTGAGTAGGTAGGTGATTTTCTTAAATCGACCGCTGTGTTTGCAATTCCAGTAAAAGCACTTTGTAATTATAGATTGATCACTATATTATCTATTACCTCATGATAAACTTGTGTATTTACCTGTTGATAAACTGAAACAAATAAATGTTGGCTTTATTTTGTAGATTGAATTATAATAAGAGATTAGATCTTCTGAATCTGAAAAATACAGATCTCACAATTATAGATTTTTGTTGACAATTGATAAATTATCGAAAGCGGTGTACTGATCTTAACCCACCCCAGGCTCGAAGTGAAGATGACAGATTTCACGGCAAAGTGGCAACGTTGCAATCCCAGTATCAAAACACGGTTCCCGCTCATTTCAAACAAAAGAATGGCGCCTGATTGGATCGTCTAAGGTAGGGCCCCCTTACGTTACACGAAGCTAATGCAATGACTCGGGACCCAGTCGGGCAGGAACACTCAAATAAAACGCTTTAATGTCTGCGAGTTTATTTATTATAAACTTATTCTGAAAACCCGAGAATTTGGATGCGATACATAAAAGCAAAGCAAGCAAAACCTAAAGGTGCCGAACTCTCGCAAAAGCAGCCTACCAAGGGGAAAAAGAGCGCGACTTGAGAAAAAACCTTGGCGTTGTATAAAACCCAAACTATGCTAATCACAAGCAAATTAAAACACCAACCACCTAAGCAGAACACGTAACTCTGCCTTAATTAATGAATGAATTCAAGTAGCAGGGTACGTTTGAACAGTATGCGTAGAGTATTAGTCACAACATGTTCCTTTAATCCCGGCTAGAAGGCAACTCACTTTTTAGTTAGTCGTTGGGTGGTGAACCTGGTTATTTGTTAGGTTAGGGCCAGCGTCTTCGCTTGATTGCCCTCCTGTTTCACGGTTATATGGTTAGGAATTGGGCTGGCATATTTGCCTATTAACCCGTAGCGCAGTTAAGATTGTTAGGGGCAACACATTCACGCATTTATTGATATGTCACCTTGCTAGTTATTCGTATCATTGTATATCGAATAGGGTGGTGTGAAGTTTGTAAAAACATGTCTGATCTATTATTCATGTTGTGACGTAGCAATAGGCAGTTATGACAATACACAGTGTGCTCGTGGAGCCCTCAATTATGCTCAGTTTCCACATAATGACATTGGTATAAACCCCAGACTTCCGGAACTACTACCTGTGCTTCGTAACACTCCCCTGACATTTGTCACGTAACGACACAAAACTGAAGATGGTTAAGAGATGGGTCGCCGCCCATGGGTAGGATGGCCTTGGTTACAGCACTTCATCCCTAATGTTGGAGGTTCGAGGGCTCTCGGATCCTTTTATGCCTTAGCTCTAGAATACCTTTCTATTCTAGCGTCCGAGCTCCCTCTCACGGTAGATAGATATGAGTTACATACAACAAGGCACACGCATTCGCGAATGTTACGAGTCACACTAAACTAAATACACCTAGCATTGCATGTCCTACTTCACGGAAGTCGAGGTTCTACATAGGTCCACACCCGTACACCGTGTAACTGAGTTAAACGTGGTCTAAACCTAAGATATCGTAGACTTCCACAACCACATGGATATTAGTTAACACCTCGCATGTAGTAAATTACATATTAGCACAATGGTAGATGGAAAATATCTGATATAACAAATGGCATAATTCATATAAGTACATAAGAGTAAACTACATAAAATGCTTTACCCGACACCAAAGTGATTGAATCTTACGCACAAACACAAAGCTAAACTCTATGAATACAACTCAAAATACAATAATCCCACCACCAACAAGCTTTAACAACCAACAAGTGACGCCAAGCCCCCAAATCCCAAACATCCTCCGGAAATTACGAAAAAAATATCGACAGGTGGTGATGGCGGTGGCTCATGTCCCCAGAATCTCCAACTACTTGACCGGTTGCATTCGACGTTGAAATATACAGGGTATTTAAAGGGATATAGACATCTCAGTTTCAATAGATGTATTATTTGCGTACTACATTTCCGATAGTAAGCGCTTTGCTCATATATACCTATTAAAGATAAAATATTCAATTTAATGAAATGTATCTAATTCTCTTATGTTAAATCGACATGACTTTCCACAAGTAAAGAAATGTCTGTGCTTAATTCTAATATCTTCTAACAGCTCGAGTTAAAATCTCGGAGTAAGAGACAAAAATGAAGAAAAATACGCTATGGAAAAATGAATATTATTTTTATGTTATGTTAGATCCCAATAAATTGTTAAGTGATTTGCTGCCTACAATAAAAAGAACGGGCCCCAAACATCTCTAAGTCTTGCTCTGAGATAATCAACACTTAAATGTTTCCAAATCCACTAAAATCCCTCCTGTGAAGCTACCACACTACAGAATTAATATTTAACTTAACGAGAAACTTATTCTTTGTGTGTTAAAAGGTGGCGTTTAAGCAAATGTTTATTATTTGTTCCATATTTACAATGAGCAAATTTAAAATCTTTAGAACCGGTATGATTTAAAAGGTGTCTTTTAAAATAGTATTAATTAGAAAATTTAAAATCTGTAGAAACTTTATGTTTTAAATGGTGTCGTTTAAAGCGGTATTTCATTTGTCTCGTAATTACAATTGGCACATTTAAAGTCTTTAGGAACTTTATGTTTTAAAATGTGTCGTTTAAAGTGGTACTTGTTATTTGTCTGGTAATCACAATTAGCACATTTAAAATCTTTAGAACCGGTATGATTTAATAGGTGTCGTGTAAAATAGTATTTATTAACTGTCTTATAATCACAACTAGTACATTGTTTATTCTTTGTTCTATAATCACAATTAGCACATTTAAAATCTTTAGAAACTTTATGTATTAAAAGGTGTTGTTTAAAGTAGTATTTGTTATTTGTTTGGAAATCACAAGTAGCACATTTAAAATCTTTAGAATCATTATGTGTTAAAAGGTGTTGTTTGAAGTAGTATTTATTATTTGTCTGGTAATCACAATTAACACATTTAAAATCTTTAGAAGCAGTATGATTTAAAAGGTGTCGTCGAAGACATTGTTTATTCTTTGTTCTATAATCACAATTAGCACATTTAAAATCTTTAGAAACTGTATGTATTAAAAGGTGTTGTTTAAAGTAGTATTTGTTATTTGTTTGGAAATCACAAGTAGCACATTTAAAATCTTTAGAATCATTATGTGTTAAAAGGTGTTGTTTGAAGTAGTATTTATTATTTGTCTGGTAATCACAATTAACACATTTAAAATCTTTAGAAGCAGTATGATTTAAAAGGTGTCGTCGAAGACATCGTTTATAATGTGTTCCATAATCACAATTAGCACACTTAAAAGCTGCAGGCTCTTTATGTTTTAAAAGATGTCGTTTAAAGCAGTCTTTACCATTTGTTTCGTAATCACAATTAGCACATTTTAAATCTTTAGAGACTTTATGTTGTAAAAGGTGTCGTTTAAAGTTGTATTTGTTATTTGTCTGATATTCACAATTGGCACATTTAAAATCTTTGGAAACTTTATGTTTTAAAAGGTGCACTTTAAGGTTGTTTTTGTTATTGGTCTCGTAATTACAAGTGGCACATTTAAAATCTTTACAATCGATATGTATCAAAAGGTGTCGTTTAAAGTAGTATTTGTCATTTGTCTCATAATCACAATTGGCACATTTAAAATCTTTGGAAACTTTATGTTTTAAAAGGTGCACTTTAAGGTTGTTTTTGTTATTGGTCTCGTAATTACAAGTGGCACATTTAAAATCTTTACAATCGATATGTTTCAAAAGGTGTCGTTTAAAGTAATATTTGTTACTTGTCATGTAAGCACAACTAGCACATTGTAGCACAATAAGTTTGTGTGTTGACATGTGCTGTTTATGTTTATTCTTTGTTATTTGTTTAACTTGTAGCTTATCTGTTGTGTGTTGGTCGAAGTCACATTCAAGGTCGTTGGAAATTTGAGTTTTAATATTCCATCCAACTTCTTCATTATCAAGCGA